CTTTCCCTGTTTTTACCAAGATATTACTACCCGGTTCTCTTCTCTGCATGTTATACAGTCTGGATAAAACCATCTAAATTTGGACGGTTTCAATGACCTTGGCAGATTGGAGAGGGTGAAAAACTAGTGAGGGCCCTATTCGGAGTTGCCAGTTGTCGTCAGCCGGCTGTGATTTTCGTTGATGAAATTGATTCACTTCTATCTCAGGTAAGAATGTTCTGAGTCTTAGGCAGCATTAAGAAATCTAAGTTGCCCCTGTAGATTCAGTACTGTTACCTTGGATAAGTCTTCTAAATATGAAAAGTTACTTTCAAAAAGGTGATAATGTCGATAACTTCCAATTTTGCAATGTTTTTTCCTCTGAGCCTAAGGAAGGTACTTCCCATGTACCTGGAAGTTAATTGCTAGCAATTACATTACACTACTGTAGCCTTTTCTGTTTCTTTCAGGGTCATTATAGTACTGTACTTGTTTTATTAAATAACAACATTAGATCTCGGAACTCACATGTGATCTAGCAGTCCTTGTTTTTTAATATTTCGTTTAATATAAACTTTGTACGGTTGCAGCGCAAGTCAGAAGGTGAGCATGAATCAAGTAGAAGGCTTAAAACACAATTCCTAATCGAAATGGAAGGGTTTGACAGTGACAGTGAACAAATTCTGCTTATAGGTGCTTATTGAACCTCCTTTTTTTTTTTTAACTACACGGTACACAATAATTATCATAAACTGCACTGTAATCCACAAATGGACACCTTATTCAGGAGCGACAAATCGACCCCAAGAACTTGATGAAGCGGCACGGAGGCGACTTACTAAGAGACTTTATATCCCTTTACCTTCACCAGGTACAATTAGCACTGGTTTTTCATTTACTAATGATCTTCATTACTTCAAATTCGAGGCTAACCAGATGTTAGTGGCAATGAAGAAGCGAGAGCCTGGATTGTACAAAATCTTCTAGAGAAGGATGGACTATTCAAACTTGAAAAGGAGGACATTGATACCATTTGCAAATTAACCGAAGGTACTATCTATCTAATCCACATAGTTTACAGGTTTATTTTCTTATTTTCTCGACTGTTTTTATTATAGTGAAGTATTGCTTTACAGGGTATTCAGGTTCAGACATGAAAAACTTGGTGAAGGATGCGTCAATGGGTCCGCTGAGAGAGGCTTTAAAACAAGGCATAGAAATAACAAAGCTGAAAAAGGAGGATATGCGACCAGTAACTCTTCAGGTAAAAATCAAGCACAAAATGCAAAACTCAAAAGATTTTATAGTTCTAATTAAAGGAAAATTGGAAGATTCGCCTCGGAGTTTAAGTGAAATTACATGTTTAATCTTGTATTCTCAAAAATTACAAAAATCTCTCTTTGAATTGTCAGTCCCGTTAAAATTTATCCTAACACCTTTGATTGACTCAATGTTATAAAATAGACTAGATTCTAAGTTTATCTTGACAATCGTTTGTTCACAACTATTTCTAGCTTTATTTGGAATCAATCATCATGTCTAGCTTTGACCGAATCTTGCACTGGCAATTGAGAGTTACTTTTGCAATTCTCAAGAATGCAAAGTTGAACTTCTAGAATTTTGTAATTTTATCTCTAATTATAGAGCTTTTCACGGTAGGGGTACTTACTAATAGCACGTCAAAATGAACACACACACACATATATATATACAAAAAAACTAACAAAACCTGTTACAGATTTAAGTAATTTAAAAATTTAAAAAAAAAAAACACTCCTGATAAGGTATTTTTTTTTTATGACCTTTAGAATTCTCCATTTAGATTCTTTTCAGAAAAATTATTTTAAACCCTATTTGCTTTTCTTATACAGGACTTCGAGCATGCATTGCAAGAGGTGAGGCCTTCAGTTTCCTTGAATGAACTTGGCACCTATGAGGACTGGAATAAGCAATTTGGAAGCTTGTCACTCTAAGGCTTAAATTTTATAATTCAAATTAAGATTGTAATATCACATTGTTGATGGATATCTAATATCCACCACCACCTTCTTAATTCGGAAAAATTACTATTATAATGATCATAAAGTGGCCTAGCAGGAGGCTCATAGCCCTTCTATAGCAATAGCCGTTGAAAAAGGTTGATTTACCAACTGCCTGAGGAATCGATGACTAAGCTATGATCCTGCTTTAAATAAAACGGCGTATTATTATTATTATTATTATTATTATTATTATTATTATTATCATTATTATCATTATTACTGTTATTATTATTATTTCATTATTATCATTAGTATTATTATTATATATATGTATATATAAAACAAAATGGTCTATTGTAGTAAACAAACGTGGTTAATTCTCTACTTTGAATTCTGATCAATGAATGTTATTATTAACAAAAAATATTCCTCCACTTTTTTTTTAAGGGGGAAAAACATAAGAACATGTGAAGTAATCGTTCCAAACACGCATGTGCAATATTCTGACCAGGATTTATAGAAACCTTACCGTGTCCGGACTTCACGGTATATGTTCTTCCATGTAAATATTTGGCATCTGACTTGTGATGTTGATGATCATGATCTAGGAAGTTCTGGAACAACTTATGTACATAGTTGTTTTCTGTATGATTGTTGTACACAATTGTTTCCTCGCACTTAAATTACACAGAAGCATGTGGCATGTTACGCCGTCCCAACAAATCTTAAATCAGGACCATTTGACCTTACTAATTTAATGACAATGATTTATTTAGGTCTATGTAAGTACTTCTCTCTTGCTAATGGAAACCTTGAAGCCGCCGGCCATGTGGGCTGTCAGTAGCGGCACAAAAACCGGCCTATCTGAACCGACCGGTATGATCTTGAACCGCCTTAGAACTGAAGCCACCGCATATTTCATCTGAATGAAGGCCATCTCCTTTCCAAGGCAGACCCTTGGTCCGGCCTGAAAAATTGGATACTTGAAGGGACATACCTTCTTCAAAGCCCCTCTATCTTTGTCCGGTTCAGTGAACCACCGGTCCGGCTTAAATTCGAACCGGTCTTTTCCCCACAAAGCTTCCATTCTCCCCATCCCATAGGGGAAATAGGTCACTCTATCTCCCGCCCTGACATGAGTACTGTCCGGCAACAAATCATCTGAGACGGCATGTTTTGAGTCCCATGCCACAGGTGGGTAAAGCCTCATGGACTCACAAAGACACGCCTTCAACATCTTCAACTCCTTCAATGATTCATAATCTAGCCTTCGTCTTTCTCTAACAATATCATTTATCTCCTTGACCACTTGTTGCTCCACATCCGGGTGACATGAGAGCGACCAGAAGAGCCATGTCATGGCTGCTGAAGTTGTGTCCCTCCCCGCCATGATGAAGCTTATCACCATGTCTCTAATCACCTCCTCGCCGTGCCCGGCTGTTATCAGCCGAGTCAGAAGATCTTCACTAGTACTAGACTCTTCTCCTTCAAATATTAGTTCTGTCTTCCTTTTATGAATTATTTCCATGACATGAGCACGTACTTGTTCAACGGCAGACTTGAGCCTTTTTTCTGATCCAACTCCAAGCCATCTCTTGATCTTCCAAACCAAGAACAAAGGAGCAGCCCCGCGCCTTGCGCATATCTCTGATGCTGCGTCGAAAGCTCTCGCGAGGGGTGAGACAGGCGCAGACGGATCCAAGGACCACCGATCAATCCCCATAGAAACCTTGCATATGATGTTGAACGCAAAGCGTCTAAGCAAGTCCTGCAAGTCCTCCACTTTCTCTTCCATTGCCAAGGACTCCATAAAGGGCAACAACTGGTTTTCGACTTCCTCCTCAAACGTGTTCACGGTGTATTCTTTCAAGGACTTGGTGCTGAACTCATGGCTGGCCAACTTCCTTTGTGTGCGCCAAAGCTCTCCATCCACATTGAATATGCCGTAGCCAAGAAAATCCCCTAGGATTTCAGTGAAGGGCCTTCCTTTTGGGAAGTTGTTGAAGTTGGTCTTGAGCATGTACTCGACGTTTTCAGGGTTCGCCGTGACGATGGTCCGCCGAGCACCAAAGCGTTGCACCACGATGGTGTTGGTTGCTGAGTCTTCAAGGAGTTGAGTGTACCACTCAAGGAGGCGATGGCGGTTTTTGTAGAAGGAAACCAAGCAACCAATAATAGGGTAGGTTGTGGGGCCATGGCAAGTGCCGGACAGCTCATGAGTAGTGACTACTTCTCGCCGGAGCTCATATAGAATTAGGTGCATCAAGTAGAAGAATATTGAGAGCAAAATAAAGGGCAGTGGCTGCAACAAAAGAGACATGTACATGTCCATGATCATCAACACGCCCATCTCTTTACATGAAAATAAGACTTTTATTTAGTGGGCGATTTGGAATATATATTGATATGTTGGCGTTTTTATACTTAATTTGAGTACAGGACAAAATGTTGCACTCATATATTGCTTTGTTAAAAGTCTTACAAATTAAAGGGTTTTTATATGTAGGGTTAATTAGAAATGGGTATTTATTATAATAATAATTTCATAAATGTTAGATTGCTTAATTTTGTACTTATATATGCATCCAAATAATTATAAAGGGTGCAGTTGTTGCACACAAGTCGGTGCATTATTTTCCAATCATGGAAGAAGATGCTATGCTACTACTGTGCCTGATTAAATATTTAGCTCTCCATGCATTAGTTTTTTCCTTGGAAAATTATTTTATTTCTTTATTAGATACTTGCGTCCATGCATTGGTTGGAATATATATATATATATATATATAATTATCATCTAGATTTTTTATCTCTTGGCTTTTTACTTTGACTAAGATCTCAAAGTCATAGTGCCGTACCCCTAGATTGGTGAACTTTGGTGTATCGTTTGATTTCTCTCCCTTTTGTTTGGCTATGATAGTTTTACTCCTATAGCATTTCAGTTATTGGTTAACTAAAAGAAACATTTTTGGCGCAAATTATTTGGCTATCCAATTCAAGGCAAGCATTGTTGAGATAGTCAACGATTTTGTAATTGAT